ATTGAAAGACTCGCTGCGAGTAATCAATGATTTGCCAAATCTTGTTCACCGATGACTTCCACTCATTGAATGCCACACTTGTGTTGAGTTCACCCGTATTTGGATTGACGAGTGGATGGAAAGGGATCGCATCGAAGATCAGCTTCTGTTTAATGATCGCATAAAACATGTATTTAAGTAAAACCTATTCAACCAAATGATTAGTCGCATAAAAACGCACCGGTATTTCACAGTTAGGGTATGTGTTAGGGATGACTACTGTGAACCGCAACACAATCCCCCGATAGAGACCTTTGTGGACAAACATCACTCCAAACCATACTATCAATCAAATGCAATATAATTACAATTATAATCATACAAATGATCGCAATTTAGGCCACAACTAGTGGTCAAACACTTACGAAATGGTGAGGAATGGGAGGGAACGACATATACGTGAGACATGTGTTGGTTGCGGTATAATATACTAGATATATATAGAAATTAGTTATATATAATGATGACCATGATGAATTAAATAAAATGAATGCAAATATAATTACAATTCTCTCATCAAATGGTATTCAATGATAACGTGCGAGAAATTGTCTAAAATGTGGTTATCGTTGGACTTCTCACTCTTCATGTCATGTAAACCATTCATCAAATGCTTATCCATTTGATACACTAATAATACTAATGACTATAAAAATAACTATCAATTCAAATGATTTGAATAATAATTAAATGATTATTAAATTGTGATTCAATTGAAACCCAAAGTAATGGCAAAACGTATGACTCAATGAAAACAGTGTTTACTATTGAGTGCAATGTTTACATACATTGAGTCAATCACTCATTCATTACATAAAACGTCTGAAAATTGCATTCATTTTCATTGAAATAAACGTTTATTTCCATTGAATTCAAGACACAATCAATTCAATCATTAATTATTGTCTCATTTTGTGACCATTTTGTGTGAATTAGTGTAGAAATAGTGAATAATACACGAAATGAATGTCAAAACCAATGGATGTGTTGTCTGTGTTTTGACACGTATTTCATGTGTCATTGAATGCGACGATTGAGTGATTTGTGTGTCAATTGTCAGTCACTTTGGGATCCAATGACTGAACCGACGGTTACTTCACACAAATGGAGTGCTTATCACCAATAAGTACTTAACCAGAGAGTGGTGGTTGTGGTGATGTCTGTCGTGAGTGATCCGGGTATGAGTGATGTGATAGAGTGCGCCATTTGTTTGGACCGTTGCGTGAATGGCGTACGCCTTCAATGTCTTCACGTCTTCTGCTTCCTGTGCGCCAAAGGGTCGGCCCAACAGTCGTCGCACAGGTGTCCCGTCTGTCGCCACCCCATCGCTCACGACTACTTCGACAGCCCCGACCTCATCGGTGGTGTCGAGTGGACGGCCTCGCAGCACATGGATGAGCAGCACATGTCGTGGCAATACGAGGGCCGCAACGGCTGGTGGCTCTACGACTGCCGCACCTCGAGGGACATACAGACGGCCTTCAAAGCCAACGAGTCTTCCGTCGAGGTATTGATCGCTGGCTTCGTGTATGTCATAGACTTCGAGCGTATGATTCAATTCAGACGTAACGAACCCAATCGGATCCGACGGATACAACGACAACCCCTCGACCCAAACACCACCAAAGGTGTGGCCGGACTCCGCACTCAGTTCAGTGACACTCACACACCTGACGCTCACAGCTCTTCGGATCCAGTTATTG